CAATCCATATTTGATTAATCAAATAATTAATCTAACAAAGTATACCCCTTTACTATTTATACTACCTTAGTAAATTTTAATTGTCGAGTTTAGAAAGTAGAACAATTCTTGTGGATATGAACTTAAATATTATTTCTTAACGGTAATTTAGTATACTTGTCAAATTATCCATCACACACATTTTTTCAAATGACCATCACAAATCAATTTCTCTATCTATGTTTTTAAACCTTGGTAGGTCTTTATGCAATCCTCGTGTATGCAATGGTACTAGCAGTAAAGTGTCTTATTTGCATCTAGTTTATCTTCTCATTGTTGAGGTGGGTTATGAGGTTGGAGTCATGAGTGTCTCAGAAGATCCTATAAAAAATTTGTTGAGCAAAGTATAGTAATACTTCCTCCTTTTGCCATTCCCTTGGTCGAGGTGTCTTACACCTCGACCGTTCATGATTTTATCTATATCATTGTAAGGGAACCTCTTTCAGTCTTCTTATTTTGATCCAACGATCTTCTTCGTGGCTATGTAGTCTCATGCTCTCAATGTGAGCTAGTTTAGCGTATCAAACAACCAATGTGCTAGCGAGTCAAAGAAAGTACATGGCTTAAAACCTTTCACCAAAGTGTACTAGGCCACAACAAGGTTGATGTGTAAGATTTGACAAGTCATGTCAAGCTTTGTTGCATGTATTGTTGGAGAATCGTGATACAAACTGCTAAGTTAGCTACTTTCAAGACTGGATATGTCTTTTAGAGAGGTGGAATAACCACAAAATGTAACTTTTTTTAGTGTGCATAGGAAGATGACACACTTAAGGGTGTTAGATTCCCTCTGGAGCTTCATCTTGACATTGAAGGGGGTTAGGTACTCTTGTAGATCCATCTTGTTATCGTATTTTTCCATAGTTGCAAGTATAAACTATCTTGGTATCGTTCTTTGTTGATCTCATTTGTGATATGAAGTAGGGTGATGTCTTGGTATCGTTCTTTATTGATCTCATTTGTGATATGAAGTATGTTTTTTGGTGCGACTAAGGAGGAGGATTCATTCCCTAGCTCTGAGATGGAAGTGTTGCCATGAGGTTTGTCTACTCATAGTTTGTGACTTCAAGGCCTTATGTGGTGTTCAATCCCCCCCCCCCCCCCCTTCACACACACACATACACACTCTTCCTTCTCGTGGAATGAGAACATTGAGGGGGCAGTGGTCAGTTCTTCATCAACATGTCTTTGAGATTATGTATCTCTAGGTCGGGTCGGGCATTACGGGTAGAGTCGTCTCAAGTTTTTAGAAGTCATGTGTAAGTTAACCACTATTTAACCTTGACAAAACAAATAAAGATCATATTTAACTACAAATTTATTATGGAAAACATTTTGTGAGACTCCATGTATTTATATTTTAACTGTAACAAATTTTAGACTTTATGTGGCAGCTCACTTTACACGCTTTCAAATGTGACTTTTATTATGAAAGTTATTGGTGGTGTTTGTCTTTTAAGCATTCTGGTGGAATATGAGTTCTAATTTTTCACACTATTTTTGATTTTGAGGTACGAGGAATCTTTTATCAAGTCCAATCCTTTTTACACATAAGATTTTTTTGCCTAAACAAAAATATATAGATTATTGTTCATCTACCTTTTTATAATTTTAAATTATTGTAACTCATATCCATTTTATAATTTATAAAATAAAGATAAATTATTAACTCTTAAAATATGAGAAAATAAAATATATATTGCGATTATAAAATAATTTTACTCTAACATTCAATAATTATTATTTTTTTTTCCACCATTAATATTTAGTTTATCAGATTGATTTATTCAACTTAAGAGATCAATTTTATCATCAAATAATTTCAATTTTTTCATTTGCAGTTGCGAAAACCAATATCATATATTCTATTAAATCACAAAAAAATATTTTAAAATTAATGAAATGACAAAGCATAATAATAGTTTTTTATTAAATATTATTTTATTATATTAAACTTTTAAAATATTACACATTGATATGTTATGAATGATCATTTTCTTTTGTATTCACTTGACATCAAATACATTTATAAAAAATTTTACAACCATTTACATTTTATTCTCTTGTATTAAGAACTTTCTTTTTTTGTATAAATAAGTTGCCTTTTCTATACAATCAATATAATTCAAATTTTACTTACATTACATAATTCTAATTACCTAATTTTGGCGCGTGCGAAAGAAGAAAGTGGTAAAGCGAGTGACGCAAACAATTGGACCGAATCATCACGATTTCATTCACGATCGTTACGTGGATCTGACATTTCCACTTTCTATCTTCCCATTACAAAAAACCACGAGTCCGCCACACGCCCTCAAATCTCAACCCTCCACGTCATAAAGAATCCAACGGCCACAATTAATTCCACATCCCCAAAATACCCCTCTCCATCGCTACATATACCACCTCTACCCTTTCCCTCTTCTCACAGTCACAATTTCACAACCGCAAATTCTCCATTACCCATTTCTTCTACCTTCTCCAATGGCTCTCTCTTCCACCAAACTCTCACTCCTTTCTCCTTCACCTCTTCTCAACCACCACAAAAGCCTCACTTCTTCTCCCTCCTTGAGCTTTGCTCTTTCATCTTCTTCTTCTTTGAAGACCAAAAACGTGAAGGTTTATGCTGCTGCAGACGCACCAACAACTCTCACTGGTGTCATCTTTGAACCCTTTGAAGAAGTCAAGAAAGACTACCTTGCTACTCCCATTGCTCCTAACGTTTCTTTAGCCCGCCAGAATTTTGATAATGATTCTGAAGCTGCCATCAACGAACAGATCAAGTAACTTTCTTTTGTTCTAAAAAGTTAAGATCTTTAGAATTAGATCTATATTTATGTTTATATTTAACATCGGTTTTTTTGTTAATGCAGTGTTGAATACAATGTTTCCTATGTGTACCACTCTTTGTTTGCTTATTTTGACAGAGATAACGTAGCTTTGAAGGGATTTGCTAAGTAAGGATTATAATTATATAAAGATTGTTTTTTTATGTGTTTCTTAAAATGGATTTTGAATTTTTGTGTTTTTTTTTTTTGTTGAGAAAAGGTTCTTTAAGGAATCTAGTGAAGAAGAAAGAGAGCATGCTGAGAAGCTTATGAAGTATCAGGTTTGTTTGTTGTTAGTTTTTATAACTGTTTTTTAGAAATCAGTTGTTAATTGTTGAGTATTTTTTTTTTTGGTATGATGATAAGAATGAGTTTGATTTGTTTAGAATCTTCGTGGTGGAAGAGTTGTGTTGCATCCAATTGTGAGTCCTCCCTCAGAATTTGATCATGAAAAGGGTGATGCATTGTATGGTAAGTTCTCTGTTTTGATTTTTCATGCAAACATGACTATGATTGATTACTATTTATGCTGATTTATGTTTTTTTTTTTTGGTTTGATATAGCTATGGAACTAGCACTGTCTTTGGAGAAGTTAGTGAATGAGAAGCTTCTGGATCTTCATGCTGTAATGATTCTTTCTCTATATTTTGTTATGGTTGAATATATTTTTGATTGAGTCTAAGGTTATATATGTGGTTGATGAATAATAGGTGGCTGATAGTAACAATGATCCTCAATTGGCTGATTTCATTGAGAGCGAGTTTTTGGATGAACAGGTAACAATTTTATATGTTGTAGCTGTGCTAATGTTTTTCCAATTTTCTGTGTTTTGTTCTTATATGTTTTTATTGGACAGGTTCAATCAATTAAGAAGATATCAGATTATGTGACACAGTTGCGATTAGTTGGAAAGGGTCATGGTATGTATATATTTTATACTCATTTGTGATCAAGAGAATCTAGTAATATGCATCTGTGTTGAGAGAATAATTGTTTTTTTGTTGTTGTAGGTGTGTGGCACTTTGATCAAGCTCTTCTTGAAGATTAAGATTTGAAAGATTTGGTTTATTATGAAGCTAGTTGTTGTTTTTTACATTGCTGGATTAGTGAATAAATGTATTGTCTAGGTTTTTTAGATGTAGGAGTGTTTGTTTATTATGAAGTTGGAACTATTGTAGTTATCTTGCAACTATTATTTTGTTTGAAATGAAAATGTTATTGTTTTAATTTCTATCAATGTTGATAATATTAATTTGCCCATAACTTAGTTTGCTAATAATTTTCAACTATTGTCCTTTTATTATGTCAAAGAAATGACTTTATTTTTATAAATGACAACATTAAAGAGAATATATGGGATTAACATAGACTTAATGGTTTGAACATCAAAGAGAATATATGGGATTAACATAGACTTAATGGTTTGAATATCTAAAAATAAACATGTAAATTCCAATGACATAAATATTTTAAAATTAAGGATTTAGATAAAAGTCTGATTTTTAATAAAAAAAGTATTATGATAAAAATTGATTAATGTATGTCAAATCAATTAGTGGGACATTTTGGGTCTTAACTGTTTATGATAAAATCAAACTCTTAGTAAATTGAAATTGAAATTTGGTGACATATGATGAACAACTATCACATGCATTGTTTGCAGTCAATAGAGCAGTTTGATTTGGATTTTGCTTCTTATACTTATCCTTTAAACCTAGCGTACTCAATTTACTCAAATCCACACCTAATGTTGGGTTTATCTTAACTGTCGCTTAGTATTTTCAATTTCCATTTAGTCAATATCTCTGTTCACAATCAAGTTAATAATGAGTTTTGTAGTAAAAATAGAGAAGTTAATATTGGATAAGAGGATCAATTCTGAACAAAACCTAAACAGAATCATTTAGTTTATGCATGATAAACCAATTTTAACATCATAAAAACAAACATTGAAAACTCGGAATATGTAACCATAATATTCATAAGGTAATTAAATTAAACTGAAATAACAATAAAAAAGTGCAGAAATGTACTACTAAATTGAAAACCAAAACTCTGCTCAGTCACTTCAACAAAAAACTGCGCTCATGTAAAATAACTAAAATTTGCTAGCAAAATAATTTAATAAAAAATTTAAGCAGCAGTTGCATTTTGGGCAGCCTGCCTCTTTCTAGCTTCTTCGATAACTGTCAACTTGATACCTTTGCCTTTGGGAAGAGACACCCAAGGCTTTGTTCCTTTGCCGATTGTGAAGACATTGCCCAACCGAGTGGCAAACTCATGACCACTTGCGTCCTGGACGTGGATGGTCTCAAATGTTCCTTTGTGCTTTTCTCGGTTCTTGATGACCCCAACACGGCCTCTGTTTCTTCCTCCGGTAACCATGACAACATTACCCACATCAAACTTGATAAAATCAGTGATCTTGTTGTTTTCAAGGTCAAGTTTGATTGTGTCATTGGCCTTAATTAGTGGATCTGGATAGCGGATGGTTCGACCATCATAGGTGTTAAGATAGGGAATACCCTTCTGTCCGAATTGAACAGACCGAACCTTGCAGAGCTTAAACTGCAAAAAGAAATAATATAAGAATTCCAGAAAGAAAGAACAATTGAAACAATTAAAATAAGGGCCAGCTAGCATCCCAACCGACTTGCTAGTGCAAATATTATTTCCGGCATGCATTTGCCATTACACCCTATCAACCCTAAAAACCACCCCGCGTGACTTATACATATGAAGCACGGACACATACATCAAGATAATCATTTGAGAAATACCGATGCGTGTCAATTTTCAAACTCCTTTTCAACCAAAGGGTTGGTGCTATATTTGTATACCAAGGTGCTATATTTGTATACCAAAACAAGTTTTTAATTTGCAGATATAATAAGTCAATAAGCAGTACATTCTTATGCAGTGAGTGAGTGATTATATGCATTGGTAACTGTGGTTGTGATATATGGTAGATAGAACACAAATTTTAGTGCAAAAAAAGATGGGGCAATTTCATTATAAGAGTTGAAATTAAAGAGATTACGAAGGACAACACAAACCTTAGCTTCATCGTCCCTCACGGAGTGGAGACGGAAACGACCCTTGGTGTCATACAGAAGACGGAAATTTTCATTTGTTTTGGGAATAGAAACAACGTCTGGTCATAGAAAGAGATCAGAAAAACTTAATCAGCAAGAAAAATGCAAAATCAAAAGCTGTTTTACTGAATTGTATTATTGTATGATACTCAATCACAACTGTTGCAAGTAATAATACTGGAAAACTCAATATTGTCCAAATGCTAAAAACAATAATGACACGGAACTTTAACAATGATGCAGGAATCAAGTTTGAAAATTCACATACCCATGAAACCAGCAGGATATGTCTTGTCTGTCCTAACCTTGCCATCAACGAGAACATGGCGCTGCATCAAAATGGCAATAACTTCTCTGTATGTTAGAGCATATTTTAGTCTGTTTCGCAGAATGAGAATCAAAGGCAGGCATTCTCTTGACTTGTGGGGTCCAGATGATGGTTTTGGTGCCTGCACATTAAAGCTATTTGAGCACAAATTCAAATGAAACATGCAAATAAAAATCACATGAAATAATGTAACCGACTAATGAAATGTGAATAATAGACATACAAAAGCTCCACCAAGCTTGTCAAGCATCCAATGCTTTGGAGCATTGAGTCTCTTCAAGTGTTTCTTCAATCCTCTCGCCTGAAATATACAAGAAAAAGTTACAACTTAGAATATTGGAATAAGCTTATATTTAAAGATGTGCTAAATTCCTAACAATTAGAGAGAACCAATGAAACGTCATAACAGAATTGTAAAAACTAAAAAATATTAGCAAAATGCATGGAGACAGAGAGATTAATATAGAACAAAACAATTCTGAGGATAACAAGGCATCCATGAGATTGAAATCAACCAAGCTGACACGACTGACACGACTATGGCTAAATTTATGATGGACTTAATTCTCATCGACAGCAATCAGAATTAATAAAATCAGGTGAAAAGAAGTATAGAACACCTAACAGACAGAGTCGCATCCCTACACTATACCCCATACATTAATTATAATGTAACAACAGAAGCAAACCAAAGCTGAATCAAGGATGTGTTCAAGAGTGACCCGAACCAATTCCATGACAAGAACATGTAACTACTTCCAATAAACAACAAAGTTAGAGAAAAGTTAAACTAATCAATCCATTTTTCGAAGTTCAAAAAGCTCAAAGTAGATTAGGTATTGGGACTTCCAAAAAACACAGATCATTGCATCGTAAAAAAAAAAATTTTAGAAAATTGACCAAACTTTATCACATCATTAGACCCATGTAGAAGACCACAACTAGTAGAATAAGCTATAGTTAAAATATGATCCACATATATCACAAATTTAAAAACCAATTTTCTTCAAATCAATCGGCACAACCATTTTTTAACCAAAAAACATCAAATATCATTTTATCAAAATAAATAACACATACAAATAAACCCTAGAATAATTAATCATACACAAACCAAAATTGAAATGCGATAAACGAAGCTAACAAAATTGAAGAAAAACGAAGTAAGAAAAGGAGTGGATTGAGTTTGAAGAGGAAAAGGTAGCTAACCATGTTGGATGAATCTGAAGAATGGGTTCCTCGGAGATGAAGTTCCTCCTAGGGTTGAAGGTGCAGAGTGAAAACTTCGTGTGGCAAAACCCTAGTTTGGTATTTTGTATATAACGGAGCTCCGTGACCGTTTCGATACGGATCTATTTTATTTGGGTAAATTTGTTTTGGGTTTTTTTTATGGAACGCTCTAGGATTGGCATTTTGGCCCATATTAATTTAGAATAGGATTTTCTTTTTAGAATTTCTTAATTTATTCCTTGATATTTTTAGTCACCTAACGCATTTTTTTATGCCCTCTGTTTTTAAAAATGTATTTTCAGACATATCTTTTTTTCTTTATGTTGGATGCTTCCGGAGACACATCTACGGACCGTAAATGCATCTCTGAAATCTTATCAGAACATTTTTTTTTAAATTCAATTTTGTTAGTCACAGATGGAAATTAACTTTTTCATATGAATATAAAATAACATACATCCGTAAATAAAATATACATCATAAACATCATAAAAAAGTAGTACATCAATGTCATCAAAATAAAGTACATTCGTACATCAATGTCATCTAAAAATAGTACATCTGTATATATAAGAAGTCATGTGTCATAAACATCATTAAAATATAGTACATCAATGTCATCAAAATATAGTACATAAAAAAACACCACAGTCACTACTGTGTGTGTCTGACAACATATTCATCCTGTCCTCTGCCGACTCCTCTGCCTCTACCGCCTCCTCGATCGCTCGGTCTGTGTCTTCGGCCATCAATCTCACCCGTCTTTGGTGTGAAGTATGTGGTACATAAGTGTCCTCGTTGTCATCCAACACACGCCTGTAGTCAGACCCCTCAGGGAAGAAACAGACGACGATGCTCGCCCGCCCAATCTCAACTATCTGAGGACAACAAGGCAGGACATCCTAAGTGTGGTCCACATGATGTAGTCATCAATACAACTCTAGTATGTCGGCGCCCTGGTCGCCCGAGCGTCGTCAGGTACCATGTGCCTCTGGTAGTCGACATAGATCTCCTCTATCTGCATACGGGTCAAGCTGAGAGGAGCGGAGACAGGTTGGTGTCTAGGAATGGTCTGAATGTAGCAGAACTGTCGCATGACGGGCTTGGGCAAATATGGAACAATGATGGTCGAACTGCATGTCAACCATCCTGAGAATAAGGAGATGTCGTCAAACAGGCGCGTCACATGATGATCAGCGTAGACATCGTACCAGATGTCCTTAACAGTCAGGCGATCGAGATAGACTCTGTAAGGGTCGATCGCCTGGTTCCCTTTGAACGGGAGAAAGGCACGGGCAAGCGACACCAGCTCTGTGTAATTAGGCACACTCCCCCACCCGGTGATCGTGGGAAAATATTGGAATATTCAAGCCTGAATGAAAATAAAAAACATCAGGATCAAGCATTATCATGAATATAAAATGAAAAGAAATGAAAAAAGTCGAAGAATATAAGATTGTTACCACAAGTAATGCCATGTTCCCTGCCACAGTCCTGATCTTCCACAAGCATCCCTCTCACAGCCTCGAATACGTGTAACCTAAGGTAGCCACACCCTAGTTGTACTTATGGATCTGTGTGGAATCCAAAAGTACCTCAGGAAAGCGACATCTGTATATATGGAGGAAGTGTCCACAAACATCTGAGTGCCGACTAAAAATAGAAAATAACATCTCAGCACATGTTGCATGTGTATCTCAACCTCAGTTGGATCACCATCTACATGGCATGCAGCAGCGAGTGACTCACCAAGTCTACGTGTGAGAAAGAAGAACCTCACATGAGCCCCTCTTGTCTTATCCACCTCCTTAAGCGCATCCAGTGGATCAGACCCAAGCTCCTCGACTAATATTTCTCTCGCATCCTCCTTTATCATCCTACCGTGACGGAGGAGGGTACCCTTGATCAGTATATGTAACAGACAGGAGATGTTGTCTAGTGTGATCGTGAGTTTGTCGTACGGTATATGAAAGAAGGACGTCTCAGGGTGCCATCTCTCTGCAAAGTTCATCAGCGTCCCATTGTAGATCATGCTGTAACCGATCTCACAAAGGTCCTTCAAACCAGAGGCGGCAAGGACATCCTGGAACCAAGCCTCATGTGGCTGCTTCAAAGATAACATCTTCCACCCGTGGTTATAGAACTTCTGCGGCTGACGAGTCTGAAAGTTTCCATAAATAAGAAACAATGATACAAATTACAAATTTCAAATGAAAAAAAAAAAGAAACAATCTGAGTAATGTTACTTCTCCATCCTAGACATGTCTGGTCGTATGGTTAGTGTACCCTGTCAGCAGAGACATATCTTAGGGACCCCTTGGGAAACCCTCAGGCTCATCATCATCGTCGTCACCAGCATCCTCCGTTGGTGGGTCATCATCCTCTAGAAGTGGCACCATATCATCGGCAGGAGGAGGACCATGAGTATCCCGACGAGGCCTGCGGTAAGACGGGGCCTATGATGAACCCTCGGTTGAATCCTGACGCCTCTGGGATGAAGAAATGGATGATGAGGTGGGATACAAGGTTGAGGGAATGTTCTGGGCATGTGATGAAGAAAGATATGTCTCAACTGTATCGGCTTCGGTAACAGTTGCATGGCTCCGCTAGCGTCTCACAAAAGTATGCTGTGAAACCCCTCCAAGTCGCAATTTATCTCCTCTGTCTGCCCTAATGCCTGTAGGGTATAACCAAGAAAAAAAATTAGATACAAATAAATTTAAAAAATAAAAATTTAAAAAATTAACATTTTTTTACTTTCGGATGTGAACATGCAGAAAACTTTCGTATATGTATCTACGGAAGAACCCAAAACTCATAAAGTTTGATTTGTTTCGGGGTTGCATCTATGAAATTGACCTAACGTTAATTTGTTATGTAGATGTAGCTCCAAAACTTCCTGCAACTCTAATAGTCATGATAATGGCATCCCCTACCCATGAAAATTTGATTTTTGAAGTCCTGATTGTTCGTTTCAGCCAACAAATAATACATACATTATCTCTAAACTATGTTTCTAAAACTATCTAAGAATTTCTACCCCTAAAACTATATTCTAACTCGTTTACGGGAAATATTCGAAAATACCTCAGAAACTCGAAGACTTACTGAATATATCGAGCTTCGAATGAATTGGAGTGTCTTGATCATTGAAATGAATTCTCAATGTCGAACATGATTGAAAAAATTTAAGTTTGGTGGAAAATGATTTTTTTGAGGATTGAAAGAGTTTGGAGAGTGAAGAAGATGAAAAATGAAGAATGGGGGGAGGGGGGGGGGGGGGGAAAGGGACTCTGACGCGAATGTATTCCAATTTTTCCCAGAGCTATATAAACATAAACATTCCGTAGATGTAGCTCAGGAAAAAATCAACTTGACTAAAAAAAAGGTGCATTCGGATATACATCTCCGGAAGCAGATGGTATTTTTGGAAGCGCACATGGTGCCTAAGAACCCCAAGGGGTGGGGTAAGAAATTCTCTTATTTTAGGTAGGGGTGTGCAGAATCCAACCCAACCCGAAGATTCATCTCAACCCAATAATTTCGGGTTAGTCTTTTTCTCGTCTCATGCATAAAAATGGAAGGAAAAAAAAAGAACTGTCCAAAAATGAATCCGGTATTGGGTTGGGATGGGTTCGGGTTGACCCTCGGGTTATCCAACCCGTCCTAATATTATGAATGCATATGTGGTACTGTTTATTTATTTAATTTATTGATATATTTAGATTATTCCAAATTTCTGATACACTTTTCCACTTTCCGTCTCATAATTTAATATATGCACTCAATAAATACAAATACACATCTTCCCACTTCCCAACTTTTACACTTCTCTAGTTCTCTTACATCATATTTTTTATTTTACATCTTCTTACCATGTTTTAGTGAAAATAAAAGGATGATAACATATATAAAATTATATCAAGTTTTTTATTTTAAAAAATTGACTTTAGATGTCTTCATTGTTTTTTATTCATGCTAATGATTTTATTCATATTTCTTATTTAAATGAAATTTTTAAAATACTATAATAAATTTCATAAGTCACTAAAAACTTATTTTCATATATTTTGGATCAACCCGATATCGTCTTACATTAACCGGTCTAAACTAACTTATATATTATCGGGTTTTTTCGGGTTTAAGTATGGGTTAGAGTCATTAAAATAGTCCAATCAAAATTTAGGACAGGGTTAGGGTTAGTCATAATCCTTCCTGACCCGTCCCTTGCTCACCCCCAATTTTAGGGAATTTCTTGATGCATTGTATGGGTTACTTACACATCAAGGGAAAATATAAAAATGCCTCTTAATTTCGGAGATGCATCTCCATACGCAACAAATACACATAAAGGGAAAATATAAAAATGTCCCTTAATTTCGGAGATGCATCTCCGCACGCAACAAATTTTGATTGAACGTTAAAATATTTCAGAGATACAAATCCATAATAATTTGAAACATATACCATGCATCACACTCATAAGTTATTATTCAAGTTTATTGTACTGAAGATGAATCTCCGTTAAGTTTACGAGATATATCTTTGTAACATATCAGAACAAAATGTTCCACATTATATTTTGTTTACGTGTATTTAGATGAAGATTTAAACCATACAATCGATATGCAAAAAATAACGTACATAAGTTCAAATGGTCCAAAAATGTCATATATAAATAAAAGACCAATAAATGTCAAAAAAAGTCGAAAACAATGATAAAGTAGCATGATGTCAAAATAAAATACAATCCATAGTACTACTACTATATACTAGTGCATTTTTGTGTATGTCAAAATACATCTCATCTGCCTCCTCGGCCATCAACCCCTCCCCCCCTGGCGTTGTCTCTGGTACATCAATGCATATGTGCCTTTGTCATGATGGCATCTAAGACCTGCCTCACATCATACCCATAAGAGAATATACCTATGTCAATGTCTATCTGCATAATCTCCACTACGCGACGACATATAGACAAG